AAAAATACAAGTCTCATAAAAGGAAAATATTTTTATGTTTTATTGTCTTTGTGAATTTGTTATGATATGGACTATACACAAAGTTTCCAAGAATTTTTGTTTATTTATTTATTTGTTATTTTGAGACAGTCCTGGCCGTCCTGGAACTAGCTCTTGTAGAACAGGCTGGGCTTGAATTCACAGAGATCCACCTGTCTCTGCCTCGTGTAGTGCTGGAATTAAAGGTGTGCATCACTGCTGCCCGGCACAGTCTTGGCTTTTAAAATGATTTGAGTAAGATTGTGTTAAATGTATAATTAAATCAGTGATAGAAGGGATAGGTTAGCTGGCCTGAATTTACTTGAACTCTACATTTATGGATAAGTATAATGGCTCATGCCTTAACCCTAGAATTTGGAATACTAACGAGTTATGAGCTCAAAGCCAGGTAGACTCTGGTTCTTTCTTTCTTTCTGGTTTTTTGGTTTTTGTGGGTTTTTTTTCCAACCCTTTAAAAGTACTTGCATGATAAAATACTCACCTTGCTTTCTTGCGTCTTTGGTTGCACTCCGAGGATTATCTCACTCCCTCTATTATATGGGTACACCAATAGATAGCCAATGTGCAAATAAAAAACTTTCACTATATTCGAACCTGAAACATATTTGCATTCTTGAATCATTCCTTGATGGTCCAGAAAAAGCTTGATCTAATGTCTATTGTGCCTCCACTAAGGGCACATCACCAGGCGAGATCCTCTACGGAGAATGTTGTTGACAGCAGTCATATTCTAGGATCTTTGGATATTTGTTTTCTTCTTTATAATTTATTTTGGTAAAATCTTGCCTACAAACGAAATCTTGCCTAATGAGTTCTAACAGTAAATATGTTAAATTTTCATTAGCACTGTTTTTTAGCTATAGGTGAACTAGAAACCTTTTAAGGCTTACTCCCTTCCAACTTAACCTCTGATTAACTTGTATCAGTGGTGGATACAATCCAGCTAGAGATCAAAGACTAAAAGAGCAGTTACACTGTATATTCATTTTGCGTGTGTGTGTGTGTGTGTGTGTGTGTGTGTGTGTGTGTGAGAGAGAGAGAGAGAGAGAGAGAGAGAGAGAGAGAGAGAGAGAGAGAGAGAGAGAGAGATACGGGGGGATTTTAAAAATCCCTTAGTGGAACCTGAGTAAATTGGCCACTGGAGTATTGTAGACATGTTTTAAGAGTACATATGTTTTAGAAGTACATATGATATTTGTCTTTCTGGGTCTGGGTTAACTCACTCAATATGATGTTTTCTAGATCCATCCACTTGCCTCCAAATTTCAAGATGTCATTAGCTTTTGCTGCTGTGTAGTACTCCGTTGTGTAAAAGTACCACATTTTCCTTATCCATTCATTGAAGTCCTTGTCTTGTACTTGCTTAAGCTATGTTACATTTCTACTGTAGTAGCGTTGCTGGGTTCTTGTGAATGGTACTGTCCCAGGTGTTATTGTTTGTAGTTTTACACTGGTGTCTCTGCATCTGGGTTTGAGCTGGTTGTAACTCAAGATGTTGTTATGTGGTCTTGTCTCTGTTGGATGACAGTTCCCTTTCTTGGTTTTTGTTCTCTAAATCTTGGAGCATGGTGGCTGTGGATTGCCCAGTAGGGAGTACTTTTGAGTGTCTGCTTGGTGTGGCACTGTGGGTATAGAGAAACACATGTTTCTAGTTATTAGGGGCTGACAGGAAGGAATTGGGATGAGCTAGAAGGGAGGGAGCTAAATGAGAGAGTTTCTAGGAAGGAGGAAAGCTGGGTCTTCCTGTAAGTATCTGCAGATTCTTCAAGCAGTGGAGTTAGTGGAGAACAGGAAAGGAGAATGGAAGTTTGCCTGCCTGATTCCCATGCTGGCATGGCTAGCCGATCATGACTTAGTTTTATTCATACTTATTTCACATTTTATAGAAATAATTTATTTTGACATCTTAACTTTCTTATTTTCACATTATTGTTAAAACACATTCATTTTTTTCTTGCTTGAATTAGTTGGATTCCTAGTTACCTAAAATTGATTATGACCCAAATATGGCTTATTGAAACACAAAAAGTATTTATAAATACTACAAACCACTACAACATAGTCCAAACTAATTCACCATTAATATAAACATTATATAAGAACAATTTTGCTAGTATAAAAGATGCTAGTGCAGCTAACTTCATACTAGTTTCTATAAAAGGTTGATTAATAAGTGAATTATGAAAATTGATTATATAAAAGTAACAATGTATTTAACAATGTATTATGTAAAGGTAACAATGTATTTTCTTATTAAAGGACAAATTATTAAAAAATTATTTTTATATTTAGGAAAGTTTAGTTATTTACCTCCTTGTTAGATGTATTTTTTTCAGAGCAAAAGAGAAAATCATATTTTTTTTTAAAAAAATTACTGCTAAAAGCAGGGAAAATACCAAGCACCAAGAGGGAAATTGTCTACAATAATTCCTTGAGATAAAAATACATGTAAGTCTTTGTATTGCCAGTGAAACATTGTTTTTGAATACACAAACAGGTTTGTGTGTTTGCAGGCCTAGTTCCGTAAAGAGATTAGCGCAGTAGTTCATTAACTTGACCATTCAGTTAATTCATTGATTAATTCATCATTGAATGGACTCTTGGGAGTAAGAGAACATCGATCATCATGTGCATACCTTTAAAGAATTTATCTGGTCCCTGACTCTGGTCTCTGTTTCTCTCTGCCTCTGACTTGCAATGAGAAGAGCCACTATCCTATGCATGCCCCTGCCATGATGTTCTGCCTTATTGTACACCAGCCCAAAGACAATTAAGACCAAGTAGCTGCAGACTGAACCCATGAGCCTAAAATATTTCTTCCTCCATTATGTTGTTTCTCAGGTGTTTTGTGACACCAGTGTAAAACTACCACAAAAAAAATAGTACTGAGGAATTAGATCATGAATGACTATGTATGACTTTGTGGTTCAAAAGTCTTTGGAACTAGTTATGGGAGGAATTTGAAGAAGTTGGGAGAAACAGGCTAGAAAAGCCAGAACATTGTAAGTAAAGCTTAATGGATGATTATCATAAGAGCTCAGAACACCAGAATGCTGATAGAAATTCAGTTAGTAGAGGCTGTACTAATGAGATTACCAATACAATTGAGGAGTTTATTGGAAATTAGACTGAAGGCAGCTTGTATTTACATTCTGACAAAGAACTTGTACACATGTTGCCCATGTTGTGCTAGTTGACTTGGGTGCCAAAGTAATTAACCTGGTGAAGGAAACCTCAGGCCACCCCACCATCCCAACCACAGGCATGCGTATTGCTGGCTTCTTTAGACAGATCTGTATTGAAAACCATGAGGGAAAGCAGAGCAGAAGGATTTGAAAAACTTCCATTTTGGCTAGAAAAGGAACATGTTTGAAGTTGGTGCCAAAGAAGGTGTGGTTGCTTAAAAAGATTAGTGTCTCTGAGAAGATGCCAAGGATGTTGCATCTGACAATAGCAAAGATGCCTTGAAGGCATCTCAGCCTTTGGCCATAATCCACCCACAGCAACTCAAGAATGTAAGGGTGCAAACTTACTTGAAAAACTTTGCTTTAGAGAGAACTTCAGAGTTTCCTGGAATCTTCAAGATGTTTCCCAGTATTAAGCAATCCAGGTACTCGGAGAGTGATACTCCCAAACCACAGTGCCCAGCTACTGTTCAAGCTGACAGCAGACCTAATTTCACTTTGCTGGTGGTGGTCTTTCAGACCAGAGAATGCAAGGGTTGTAGGATACTGTGGGACAGAGTTGGGATCTCTGCAGGTACTTCAGGGTGATGTGTAAAGCTGGGAGAGAGGAAATGTTTCAGGCGAAACCTTGGGAAATAAGAAATGTTGAGTGTGGACTGTTTGCAGAGGGCTGCTAGGAGCAGTAAAGAGTGAGCTCAGGGAAGAGCCCATGTGGACTGTAGCCTGCCAGGCCAAAGGCGGAGCTGCTCAGACCTTTGTAGCACTGACTAGGCAGGATTGAATGTTTTCCTTGCTGGGTCCGAGGGCTTTTTTTTTTTTTATTGTTGTTGTTGTTTGTTTGTGATGGGTCTGGTCCTTCCTTACCATGCCTACATTCATACATAATTGGAATGCTTATGCTGGGCTATTTTATTTGGAAATATATAACTTGTGCTCGGTTTTATCTATGTCAACTTACAGATGGGAGTTTGTCATGAGTCTCAGAAGTAATTCTGGACTTGAACTTTTGAGGAGAGTGTACTCTATTAAGAACTGGGGGCTCTTGGAGATAAACTAATTGTATTTTGCAATATGAAATGGATATGCACCTTTGTAGGTCATGAATTAAATCTCATTGTTTGGGTATGAAATGTCTCCCCCAAAAGATTTACTGTTGTTGGAGGCTTAGTCCACAGAATGTATGGCTGTTGGGAAATGATTAGATCATAAATTCTCTAACTTCTCCAATCAAGGAGTATTCCATTAATAAGTTCATAACTGAATGAGCTATTAGGAAGTGAAGTTTTACTGAAGGAAGGAAGACTTTGGAAGCATGCCTAAATGGGAATGGCCTTCGTGGGCTCATGTTTGAATTGCAGCTGGTGGAACTGTTAGGGAAGGGTGAGGGCGTGTGGACTTATTGTAAGAGTTGTGTCACTGGGTACTAGATTGAGCTTTCAAAAGACTCACACCATTCCCAGTAGCGCTCACTGCCTTGTGCTTGTGGTCAAGATGTAAGCTCCCAGTACCACGGCAGCACTGTGCCTCCCTACCTGCCTCCATGCTCAGGGACATGGTGAACTCTAATCCCTTGACACTGTAAACCCACAACACACTTTTCTGTAAGTTTCCTTGATTATGGTGTCTTATCACAGCAATAAAAAAGAGACGAAGACAAGTTGTTTCCTTGGGTGTTTTGTTAACAGCAACAAAACTAAAACAGAAATACCAAATTAGCAATAAAAAATCCAGTAACAAACTTAATTTTTTTCTTTTTTATTTAAAAATGTTTTAATTTTTGGAGGACCAAGAAGGCTGAGTCTGATGAAGCAAGACTTTGCTGATACACTCCTCCTAGACAAAAGGGCTGGAGAGAGCAGCCCTTACTGGAGAAAACCACAGGGCTTTCTGTACTACCCAACATTTTAAAAATAAAAAATAAAAATGTTTTAATTTTATATACTAGCCCCAGTTCCTCCTCCCTCCCCTTCTCCTGCCCCCTACCTAATCCCCTTCCATCCACTCCTCAGAGGAAGTAAGGCTCCCTTGGGGAGTCAATAAAGGCTGTTTTATAAAGTAAAGGCAGGATCAAGCCCCTCTCCCCTGTATCAAGGCTGAGCCAGGTATCCCACTGTAGGGAATGGGCTTCATAAAACCAGTTTATGCACCGAAGTCCTGATTTCACTGCCAGCCTTCCCCAACAGATCAAGCCATATAACTGTCACCTACATTCAGAGGGCTTAGTCAGTCTTATGCAGAATCCCCAGCTGTCAGTTCAGAGTCCTTGAGCTCCCACTAGCTTGGGTCAGTTGTCTCTGTGGTTTTTCGCTCATGATCTTGCCCCCCACCTTGCTCATATGATTCTTTCCTCCCTCTTTTCAACTAAGCTCCAATTTTCTAAAAGAACAATGGAAAGAATATTGATTATTCTAACATTATTCACAATTGCCCACAAAATGGAAACATTTCAGGTATCCATCACTGTAAATGAGTAGACAAAATGTGATATGCATATCCAATAAATATCAATATCAATTGGCCATTAAAACTCACTATTCTCAAAATGTGTGATGGATAAATATTAAAATATGCTAAGTAAAATAAGCCAGACACAATTGAGTTCACCTTGAGTCTCAGAAGAAACTTTAGCTTTGAACTTGAGCACTGCTTAGATTTGAGTGATTCCATTCATGTGAAAGTCTACAGTAAGGAAGTCTATAGACATAGAAAGTAAGTGTATTAGTTACTTTGCTGTTGCTATGGTGAAACATCATGAGCCAGGCAACATGTAGAAGGAAGAGTTTATTTTGGCTTACCCTTCCAGAGGTGTAAGAGTCCATCATGACAGGAAGGTACAGCAGTCCCAAGAAAAGGCAGAAGGAGCCGGAAACTGAAAGATCACATCAAGAAGAGAGCAAACTAGAAAGAGGCTGAGATTATGAAATCTTAAAACCCACTCCCAGTGACCAACTCCCTCAAGTGAGACTTTCCCCCTAAGCCACCCTAAACAGCACCACCAGCTGTGGATCAAGTGTTGAGATGCACAAGCCTGTGGAGGACCTTTCTGGAGACCAGTGCAGTGGGTTAGCCAGAGCTCAGGACTGTGGAGGACCTTTCTGGAGACCAGTACAGTGGGTTAGCCAGAACTCAGGACTGTGGAGGAAGTTAGGTGTGAGTTGGGCAGATGAGAGGGTGCTCGCTGAAAGACATGTGGGTTCTTTTTCAGGTGATAGAAATGAGTGTGATAGTGATAGGAAATATCTGTGAATATATCAAAAAGCATAGAAGTGTACATTCTAAGTGGATGGGTTGTATAGTATGTGAATTACATATTAATAAAAACTATTTTCAAATAGCTACGTTTAGGAAGATTTCTAAGGGAAGTTTGTAACTATTCAAATGAAAAATATTGTACCTGAATATTAATCTTTTCTCAACTTAAATTAAAGCTAGCAATTAATAATATTCTCCTTGAGTTGGAACATACTATTGAATAAAATAACGAAAAACTCTTGGACAACTTGAAGCATTTATCTTTCTAGCAGACCATTTACAAAAGTAGGCAGATTCGGTAAGCATCCCTTCTCAGCTAAGTGTGCTAATCACCAAAGGCACGGTCTTAAAGGATCACTTGATACTCCCCTATAGTCTGAGGCTAGAACCCAGCAATCTCTTATTTCAACAAGCTTTCCATATGGTTCTGATGCCACTTACAGTTTTGCTGGCTCACTAATCTAAGAGAAGTGTGTGTGCTTAGGCCTGTAATGACAACATGAAATACATTTCCTTTCCAACACACTTAAATATATGGCTGGAAATATATGGGTGACTTCACATCTCGTGTCTCATCAGTGTATTCGGGAGTTCCTAAGACTTTAAAGCTGAAAACATAGTTGTAATTTTTTAGAGTAAAATATAAAGAGTTCTTGCAACAAATTAAACTGGTGAACATAGCTTTCATGATACAGAGCTTGATATCCAAAACTTTGAGAATTTTTGCCTATTGTTCATTGAAAGAAATGAATACTGTGTGGTTAAGATATGTTTTAAATTCCCACATAAGTATAACCTAGTATAAAGAAATGCTTTATTCTATAAGAGCAACTAAAGAATAAAATCAGTAATCTACTCACCACCATCTCCCATGGCTAACCAGCCTTTCATTTTGAGTCTGATAAACTCATTGATATGGGATGTGACAGAATTTACAGTGGCATTTTGTGAGAAATCTCCTTAATTATGTCCTTGTTTGATTGGATATTTATGTCTCAAAAGACTAACAGGCATTCACTTCAGTTCTTCATATTCTCTGAGACTTTCTGACTTACTTGAAATAAAGAAGAGAGAATATAAGAGCCAACCGTCAGGTCAAAGCAGAACTTATCATATAAATACACTTTGAGAAATACTATAAATACTGCCAATGCTATTGTAAACTATTAGTATCGCTTAAAACAAGAACGTAATTAAAGGATAGGAGCTGGGAGATGAGCTCTTTCCAAGAACCTGGATTTTATTCCCTCCAAGGTGGCTCACAAGCACTGTAACAGTTCCAGAGCATCTGGCATCCTCTTCTGGTTTCCATAGGCACCAGGCCTGCACATGGCACACAGGCTTACATGCACTTAAGACACCCATACCAAGAAAATAAAAATAATCTTTTTTTTTTTTTTACAGAAGATAAAGGATGGACTGTGTCAGTGGTTCTCAACCTGTGAGTCATGACCCTTTGAGGTTACATATTAGATATTTACATTGTAGTGCATAATAGTAGCAAAATTACAGTTATGAAGCAAAATGAAATAATTTTATGGTTGGGGATCACCACGACATAAGGAACTGCATTAAAGAATTGCGGCATCAGGAAGGTTAAGAACCACTGGACTATGGCTGTATACATAAGTGGTTTGCATTCATTGAAGTTTGCAGTATAATCTGTAATATATAGCAAAGAAGAATCAGATGATGCCATTTTTTTTATCAAGAAAAGATAAAGTACCATTTCTTGAAATAAAAGGGTACTTTCTGACTGTAGCAACAGACATCTATGAGAAAAACACCTTAAAGGTGTTTTTACAGAAATAGAAAATTTTGTCAGATTTTCATATTGAGTTTAAAGGACCTCCAGTAGCCCATGCAGTCTTGAAAGTGATCAAGATGTGAAGAGTTATACTTCCTAAGTTCAAGCTGTAGCTTTAGAGTGCATATCAAGACAGTGCATTGCTGTTAAGAGTAGCCCAATACCAGTGGAAGAAACCAGAACAAAATGAATCCTCAGGAGAGCCAGTTGATCTCCAAGGATGCCAAGGATGCGGGATCATTCACTGGGAAAGGAGCAATCGAGTCAACCTTGGTCCTGGGGAAACCAGATATCCAGATGCCAAAGAAGCTTGATTCGTGATTTTTCTATACAAGAATGAAATTTAAGAACTAAGGCATTGCACTTAGAGGAATGAGTAAGGAAGTAGCTTCATGACCTTGGATTTCTTCAATATTTCTTAGAAATTATACCAAAAACATAGGAAATGGAAGAAAAATAGATTGGACTACCACTAGTAAATGTTAAAGCACATATAACCTTAAAACTTGGGAAACAGGCAAGAGGACTACCAGAAATTTGAGGCCAGCCTGGGCTATAACAAGATTGAGTGCTTTTCTCTCCTCTCACACAGTTCAGGATCACCTGTTTAAGGAATGGGAGGCCTATCAGTGGGTTTTCCCACCTCCTTCAGTTCAGTCAAGATAGTTCCCAAAGGCTTAAAAGCCACAGGCCAGCCTGATCTGGACAGTGCCTCACTGAGAATCTCTTCCCGGGTGATTCTAGACTCTGTCAAGTTGACAATTAATGCTAGCCCTCACCCCTGAAGTTTGAGTCGATACAGCACGTACTGGACACTCTTGTAACCCAACAAAGCAGAAAATAGTCACGCTTTGTCTTCATGAGCTTTAATCCTGAGCAGCTGAGCAGGCTACTACTTGATGTTAGAGTCTAAACTTTCACCTTTTACCGAAGGGTGTCAGAACTACCTTAAAGAAGGTACTGAATGTGTGCCTTTGGGTTTGATTTGGTTTGTTTTCAGAGATAAGGTCTCACTGTGTTGCCAAGGCTGGCTTCAAACCCATAATCCTTCTGCTTTGGCCTCTCATGTGGCTGGAATCACAAGGTTATACCACTGTACCCAGTTATGAATGCATTTAGCATCTGCTTTTCCAAGTATTATATATTTTCTACAGATAGTCTCTTCTAGCTATCACATTGATAAGAAGTAGTTATTGTCACTATTTTTACTGAAGGAAGCACTGATGTATATTATAGAGGTTAAGTAATTTGCCAGATGTCTAGAGCTGCGTCACAGCCACAGTCCGCATTTGCTTTGCCTTCATCATCTTCTCTTGTGACACTAGTAAACCCTTTTACTCATGAACTGAATTGAATCAGTGCTCTTACCAAGATTAAATAAAGTCAGCACGGACTAACCTGAAGAGCAGACCAGACATTCCTAGATTCCCAAATATCTTAGTCAGTTGAGCAGAATAAAATAAAACCTTGTCTTAACGGTCTACTTTCTGTGCATGAAATAACACTCACTTAAAAAAAATTACATCCACACCCTCTTTATTTACACTTGTTGCTCTTAAAATGCCTGCTGATGATGGATCAGTTCATCCGTTCCTGACATCTCAGAATAGTGTAAAGAGATTAGTGAGTCAACACTGGCATCACACTTGAACACACCTGTTCAGAACCAGTCCTCCAGATTTTCCCCTCTGCTGCCTGAGGTGGAGTCTTCTTCATGGATTACAGTAACACTTTTTGACAAGTTTAGACTGGGTGGAACTATGTGTAATGACAGAACACAATTGATAATATCTCAGTAATGCATTCTTTTTTTATTTAGGCTGTCACCATCTATCACCATAAAAGC